TTAATTTCGCTACATATTTTGAGTGCTAGTCTTCTCTTAGGAAGGACTGTAGTCTCATCCACCTCCTGAAAACTGGTGTTAACATTGCAGAGCTTTTGCAGGCTCAGGGAAGGGTGTTACAGAACACTAGCTGGTGCAGTTCCCTTTGACTGGGCTCTTCAAGGAGTCTCTGTGTTCTCAGCCGAATGGGTTTGGGGGCCGATCTACTCCCTTGCTATTAGTATTAGTCCTATTGAACAAAGCAGAGATGTGCAGAACGCGGACAGCGTGAAAGACTTGAATGGCAGCTGCTTATTCTGTACCTATTTGAGAAAATCAAAAGAAGACCTCAGTGGGCCAACTAACAGCCCAGCACCTTTCATCAGCATTACTACCTCTTTAAAAAAAGACATTCCTCTTTTTATGTGACCTTGGCTTTCTTCTTTGTATATGAGGTAACTAACACCTATTCTCCAACTCTGCCTGTGCAGGTGAGTGCTCACAATTAGCATTGTCTGACAGCAGGTCTCTGATTCACTTGAACTTGACTTTTTTTTGAAATGTTGGTTTTTCTCCCCATTGTTCCAAAACTCTTTTTTCCAAACTTCCATTAACTGGAAGCTTTTGGAACTCTATAGCTACTCCGTGAAACCAGCTTTCTTCTTAGTTTCACTGCTAATTCCCAACGAAACGTTTGAGCACAAAAAATGCATGCTTCCGATAGGTCCTTTTGCAGGCTGCCTTTTAACCTGAATGCTAGTTTGTTATCACCATGCCTTCTTCTCTGCTATTCTTTAATATAATTATCTCTCTTTGTACATTTTAGGCTGGAGAATTGGGAAAGGGGAAGGTTATGCAGATATGGAGTATGCAATGATGGTGTCAATGGAAGCAGTCACAGAGGACACACCAGTAGTTACTATCGTTCATGACTGCCAGGTAAACTAAAATGTTAATTTTTGAAGGACTCTTGGTAACAGTTCAATAATTTCAGTGCTAGGAGTGTGTCAAGCAGTTGGTACTGCACTTACCTAGTTGCATAATGATACTGTCTAGAATATAGATCAGGAGTTGGTTTTATCCTCTTGCCTTAATGGAGAAAGTTTTGATATTTCATAAACTGGGATGATGCAATTTTGGTGGGTTTATCCTAATTTCTTACCATGTTGCTCTTCTTTCTCATGTTAGGTGGTTGACATACCAGAAGAGCTGCTTGGAGACCATGATTTAACTGTGGATTATATCCTCACTCCAACGAGAACTATTAAAACCAATTGCAAACGATTAAAACCAAAAGGAATAATATGGCGGAAGGTAAGTTACTTCTACTGAAACAGAGTTAATATGCAGCCCTTGTTTCTCCTGTACCTCACCAAGTCTTGTGAAATGCTTATCCCTCGAGTTTTCTATGAGATTTACACCTCTCACTGATGGACAGACACTATGTCTAGTGCTGTGAATATTCCTGCAGGTCGTCTTAGTGATGCTGGTGAAATTTGAAAAAGAAGAAGTAACCAGAATGGAAAAGTTAGTGATTTTTGCTCCTCTAGTAACCTTTGGGCAAGTGAAAAAATTGTTCAGTAGACTGTGCAAAATTTCACCGCCTGTTTCATTTTGAGGCTGTTTCAATTCGTTTTGAGCTTGAAACAGGGAAATCAAAACAAAATGAAGGGCTTCAAAACAGCCTCGAAACGAAACAAAGACAATCAAAACATTTCAGGTTTCGAAGCTAAAGCTGGGCTTGCCTGCAGGGAAACAGAAAGTAAGGAGAGGGAGGGGGAAGCAGGGGAAGTACAACTCTGGTATTGACTGTGACTGTTTGGCTGCCTGAGATGCTGCTAGTGCTACTGTGCTGCTTACTAAGTTATTACCTGTTGTCATTTAAAGTGGTGGACCGGACTGAGGTGGTAGGGGAGGAGGTGACTTCCATTGAGGCACACTACCATGTCACGTAGAGGCCCCAGCGCCAGTGAGGGCGTGCCTTACACACACACACTCACAGTCACATATGTCACAATTTTTGCTTGTCAGCAACTTGAGGTGCAGTTTCCCAGAAAGCCCTGCACCTGTCTCCTTGAAACATGGCAGGCTGCATGCCCTCAGAAGGGGCTACCATCCCTGCTGTTTTCATCCAAACCTGCGAAAAAATGACAAGGTTATAGGCAGTTTCGTGCTTCCCCGTTATAGCCTATGGCCAAAACGTCGAAACAGCAAAACAGTTTCGATGAAACAAAACGGAACAGTGCTTTCGAAACTAAACAAAACTTGAAACTAAACACTGTCCCGTCGAAATGGAAGTTGAAATGAAAGGGTGCTTTTTCGCACAGCCCTAGTGTTTAATAAATGGAATCGAAAAAGGACATGATGTCTTACGGTTATATACATGGTTGTTGAAAAATGATAATGGCAAAAAAAATTGCCTCTGAATCCAAGGTTTCCCATCCTGTGGAATTTGGCGTAAAATCTAAAGGCCAAGATCTTCAGCTACTTTCAACTCTCATAGCCCTACTGATGTCTTGGGAGCTGTGACAATATAAGCAATATATTTTTATCTCCTGAAAGTTTCTTGAAGTGGATTGTTTGTTTTCTTGAGACAGTTCAACAGGGAGGGCTGTTTGCCAGTCCACCTGGATGGGGAAAGTAAGGTTAAGTTTCATGAGTTAGTGTTTGGGACATTCATTTTTGGATAGCTTCAATTAGTTAGGTATAGGAATTACTTTATAAGTATGTTAGAGTTCCTGAATAACACAGAAATGGTTTTCCAGATATTTTCATGTGTTAACACGCTGTTCAGACTTGTGAAAAACTAAAAATTATCCAACAACAGCATGCACCCAGTTTCACTGGTGTACTTATGAACGATTTGTGTGAAAATTTATGCTGGAAAGTGATTTAGATTTCAGAACTATAAAAATAGAATTACAAACAGAGTTATCCAGTTAACTTTGCTTGATGCAGGCATGAGCAGAAGTAATATTGTGTGACCTGAGTGATAGCTTGTCCGCTAATAATAATCAACTGTTGTTCACAGAAGCTAGACAGGAAATGCTCATAAGTAATGAACACGTTAGTAGAAACCCAGATCTATTGGAAAGTCTTCCGTAAACAGAAAAAGGGCTAAATGAATAAAGACATTTATCTGCAACAAGTTATTCCACCAGCTTTATTTCTGTCTTGAGGACATTTCTATCCAGGTCAGGATCGAGGTAATAAAAACACCTTTTTATGCTGGCGTGTTTTCACAATTGACGTATTCTTACATTTCAGTTCTCTTATAATCTCATTTAATGTAGTTGTTTAAAGGCCCAGCTCTCATGGCCCATCCGTCTTGCCAACAGGGCCTTTGATCACTCTCTTCCTTAGTGTCAGAATTCAGCCTCAATAAATTGCCTCTCTAACATTTTTCTCCACAACCCTTCACAAGCCAGATCTGCAAAAGTCTCAAGAACACACAATCTCTTGAAGGGTTGCTTTAATCTTTTTGCTGCGTTTGACACTGTCCCAGACGAGACCAGTCTGCAGCCAAGTACTGTATCAAAATGGATGTTGTCTTTGCATGTCTTCTCTTTTTTTCACTTATCAGAAAGTGAAAGAGGGATTAAAGATCAGCTATATACAAGGGCTTGGGACAAAGGGTTGCCTTAATGCATTTCCATATATTTGCATTTACAACCTGATCAGATATATTTAGTAAACCATCGTGCTCTGATTCTCTGTCCTGGGTTGTTCTAATTCTCTTGGTGATGCTCACATGGGGATGCAGTTACTGCTCTTCCATTTACTTGCTTCATTTTCTTATTCTGTTCTTCCTACAGTGATGACAGTGGTGTGTGTATACATACATTTCAATAAGGATATGACTGTCTGTTGTGCGTGTTTTCTCTCTTGCTCTCTTAGGGAAAGAAGTATGTGCAGTGGAGTCTTGATATCATAGGTTGCTTCTGTGATGGTTTTTTTATGTGTCTTTGCTCCTTATTTTTCCATATAATTTGTTTCTTGGATTCAGTGCGTCTCCTAGCTTTCACCGAACAGCTACAGTTATTGCTGCTCCACTGCAAACGTTCCTAATAAAGGGCCTGATAAGCCAGTGATTTTTATTGACTGACAATTGGGTCCCAACTCCATTAAGTTTTGTTATATTTATTCCTAACAGTAAAGCTAGAAAAAGAAGGTGGGATGTTTTCAAACCCCCACGCACACACAAGAGGAAGCTGTTACTTTGTAGGTCTGTAGGTGTTGTCATATTAGTGGCAAAAAGGGCCCAAAGTTTCCTGATGTCTGAGACTTATTCTCCTAGTCCTTTCAGTAACAGTTACCTAATTTTTCAAATGGTTGGTACACACAGCTCTTTCAGACTTTGGAGAAAGCATAGGTACCGCAAATCTGGCCATTTGGGGTTCTCACCTTTAGGGTACACCTTTAGGAGGAATTAGACACTCTACATGTAATGGGAGCTCTCAGCATTTTACAGATCAAGTCTTTATTTAGATATCTGAAAACCTTTTTCTCAGTTTTAACTTTAAAGGACTCAGCTCTGATAATGCAGGCACTAATCCGTTTTGAGAGAAGCTGGCAGCTTAGGTCAAAAGGCTTTGAACGACAATGGTAAGAGATTGCACTGGACAAAGTGGTTGGGGGCAAGGAAAGAATTGGGGTGAGGAAGCAGATATTGAGGACACAATGTGCTGAAATGCTGTAAATTAGTGATAGGGAGCTGCCATTCCCTACCGCACTGTACATCAGCTGCCATGGTGAGTTGGAAGCTGAAGAACACAGAACAAAGGTAATCTGTGCACTTTTGTCCTCCAGGGTAGTGGTCACTGTCCAAGCCACCACTACAGTTTAAAAGCTAAAGGAACAATGATCTTCAGGATTATTTAATGGGACATATGCAGAATTGTTACCTTGTGATTTCAGAGGCATCCGTTTGAGTCAGGGCTGCATGCAGTCTTCTCAGGTGGGAGGTCTAGTTAATCTGCAGGTTTCAAAACTATAGGGCTTTATTTTGGCTTTTTAATGGTGTGTATATGGTTTCTTGACTCCAACTGTAGCCTTTTCTCCTACTCCAAATCCTGGCTTTACCATCCCATTCTCCTGTCTCTGAGCAAAAAAATAAATTAACGAAGAGATAGTGGCTAAAACAGCTCTGCTATTAGGCAGGATGTTTTGTGAATAGAAGGTAGCTTAACTGCATCCTTAAGCTGTGTGGTGTGTAAATCACCTTGCAAGAAGAGTACATCCTTCGGGAACATGCCTGGATCAAGCAAAGACAATGGCTTAAGGGCTTATTTAAAGTAGAGTATGCCTGCTTGCAAACACCGGACTTATGCTAAGCATCGCCTTGGGAGATGTGCTTAATTTAGTGTGAAACTCTTAAGGCAGGTAGTCATTAGCAAACATGCCTTGCTTTCAGCATGGGCTCCTTTGGAGGCTTCTGTGCCAAATAAAGAGCATATGTCTTGAACTATAAATGCGGTGCTCAAGTATGTCTCAGGGTTGCATACCATTTCTTTTAACTGTAGGATAATATAATGTCTTAGATCCTTAACTAGTGTGAACTGGCATCACTGCAGGAATTATGCTGATTTGTATCAGCTGGGAAGCTGACATGTTTCTGCCACAAACAGCCTTCAGCAACACCCTGTGACTATGCCTAGGATTTGTTGCAATGAAAAGAAGTATATTTAGTGCACATCTCTGAAAAGGGAAGTGTGGAAGAGATGTTGGGTTTTTTTCCTCAAATAAGTGGTTGTTTTAAGGGCTTGAGAAGTGCATGTATATGCTTTAATTGTCTAACAATGTACTGCAGGTACAATCTGATTTATTTCTTCTTTTGCTCATGGCACTTTAATGCTGGTGTAGCATTATTGAGTTTAAAAAAAGCTACTGCTAACACAAGTGTAAAGAGAATCATACCCAACCTAACAATGCTAGGTTCATTAGAAATATTTACAGAAATTAATTTGACCTGACTTGGCATTCATGTTCAGCTTTCCAGAATTTCTCAGTGCCCTTGCAGGCTAATTGGAGCTGCTAGGAGCTGAGAGATTTTTGAAAATTTGGCTGTCTGTTTAAAGGCAAACTGAGAGCTGTTCTCTGCACAGCTCCTATGGAAATCTAGTCCATTTGCATGTGATATCGCTGCATGCATGAAATTAGTATTTTCCCATTACTGTTTTTATGGGCAGCTGAGGCTTTTATCTGTAACTGTACTTACCACTTAGTTACTATTATTTGGTTGCTTGGGCTATTGATTATATGTTTTGATCCATTGGGAGAGCAGAAAGGTAGACAGTTGTTAAAGCAAAGCACTGTATTTTCTGGCCTATAAGATTATTTTTTTACCATCTAGAAAGGAGATCTAAAATTAGAAAGATATAAAAGGTACATTTTATACGCTGACTTTACTAACAAAAATAATTGAGATCATTGTAATACGAGTTGACCAAAGTTCAATCAAAATCATATTTAAAAAAAATTCCCACAATGTTATTCCTTTGTGGGGAGGGGGTTACATGCTAGAAAATATGGTAACAGCATAAAGGCTTCCCTGGAAGAAAGAAATGAGGGATTCTTGGTCTCATGTTTAGGGGAGGGGTAACAAATGGGCAGAAATTGCTGAAGGATATCCTGCTCTGCCTCAGAAACGGACAGTAAGTAAAATCTTCTAGGCATAATGTACAAAGCCCTCCCTTCTATCCCAGAGTTACTGGGAAGCCATTTGGTAGGTGAGGGACCAGATTTTGGTCCCAGCATGCTCCGCTGCAAGCCCATCAACCTCAATGGGCTTATTTCTTCCTTCCCCCAGTCTTGCACTGCAAAAGCAATGAGCATTTTGTGCCAAAGCTGCTAAGTGCCGAAGGCTGTTTGGAACCTCACTCCCATTGACTTGACTTGTCTAGGCGGTTTTGTAAGTCCTGCCAGGCACTCATCTGCATCTTTAAGCATCTCTAGGCCTCTGTAAATCTGGCTCTTTCTGCTTAGTCCATCAATGCCATTTCACTGATGAGTTCCAAATGTGGGTTTCTTGAGTCCTGTCTCCAGAGGGACCTGGCAGGCTTCGTGGGTTGCCAGCTCCCATAAATATACCCTCAGATTGTGCGCACATATTTGGACATTACTGGCATGTGTCTGCAGCTGGCCCATTCCCATTGCTCCGGCTGTGTCTGGGCCATTCCAGTTACACAGGTTTAAAGACATTTGCACCAAACACAAGCAGCTGGCTAAGTGTCCTATATAGGAAGAAGCAGGCCATGTGCTGAGTGCTTGTGTAGTGAGCCTTGTGGGCTGGGGGAGGAGGGAGGGAATGTATCCTCCAGTATGGAAAGAGATGTATGTATAAAATCACCCCTTGGTAGGACTATTTCAGCTCCTTAGCTCCATCTGTGCTAGGGCTGGTGGATCTGTTCAAAGCTAGACTGTCTGGTTTTAGTCTCATTTCCCCTCTGGGCAGGCAGTGTTCCCAGATCAGAATGCACTGGTATATGTGGAGCCTTGGGAAAGTAAACTCAGCTCCATCCTTAGGATCCAGCACTCACCCCACCCTCTCTATATGGCTTCTCCCTCTCCCCCTATATCAGAGCTGCACTGTCTCTGCGACCAGGGGGACCTGTGTAACTTTGAAAGCAATGCTTGGGTTGCTCCAAAATGCTGTAATAGTTTGCAGTAGTCATAGAAGGGCAAGCACATCTCTAATTTTGCCCAGCAAAATATTTAAAATGTTTTTATTTATCAGGGGACTGACTGCCTAGAAATGGTAGAGACCCTAAGAGAATGAGCTGTTTGGGTGGGATGCTCTGAGTAGTTCATCTGCCAAGATACAGCCACAGTGCTGAATCAGGTGTCTTAAGTGCAGTCTGGATGTTCAGGACTGCATCCAGGGAAATTGGTATTGATGTGCGCCCTCCCAGGAACTCCCTGCAGTCCTCCTGCTTCCGGTGGAAAAGGAGGGGATTCCCCTTCTGTACATTTTTTTCCCTGTAGACCATTGTTTGTAGCCTTGCTGCATGTGTATAGGCACCCCAGAGGTCCAACTTCCCCAGTCTCCTGTATCATACAGTGGCAGAGAGCAGATGCTGGAAGGCAGCATTGTCAGGGTATGGCCACGGTGTTTCCACTGTTCCTCTCCCACTTGCAGCCTCCAGCATTTTAGGTCTAGCTGTAGGAAGGTTAAGTGGCCTAGTCTGGATAGCAGACAAACCTGTGTCAGTCTGAATTGTATCCCAGCTCTGTGTTGTAACTACTGTAGGGGGTTGGGGGAATTAATGAACAAGGAGACAAACCTACAGAGATTTTGGAAGAAGGGGAGAATATTTCGGATTCTCTCCACTTCAGAATAAATCGTTGCAGTCATCTACAATTTACAACACAAAAGAAGCTTTTGCATGAGTATAATTAGCAACATATTGTCCCACCACAGGAGAATTCTCTTTGTCTGCTGTGTTACAACAAAGCAGAGAGCTCGTTTCCCTGCTCGGCCAGAGACGCCCGCCCTCCCCAAAACTGGCTTTGAACAAGTATGTTGAAATCCCAAACCAGATCTCTGGCTCTCATTGGATTATTGACTGAAGAGGCTTGGAGGGGGATTTAGAAGTACAGGACCCCCCTGAGGTCCCACGGAAATCAATGGCGAGACTCCCTGGAACCAAATACGAACAGCACCTGTTCTTTGAGAGAAATCCTTTCACCTTGCTTCCCGCATAGGGTGTGAAGGGGCCAGCTGGCAGCTGAACCAGTGTGGGCGGTAACATATGGAGAGCCATTTGAAGACAGACATCTCTTCAGGGGTTTGCCAAGGCCCAGTAAGAAAGGTGATTTGGGGGTCACGGTTAGCTGATGGATCTGCAGCTCCATGAACTTTTCATCTCCACAGGTCTGCGCCATGCTTATTGCCAACCTGAGTGCCAGATCTGCTGGCTAATAGTACAAAAGCTGGACGGACTATTCAGTAGCGTCTACAGACAGGGTTGAACTAAGGTCTGGGCAATGCAGGCCTAGCTCATGAAATTAGCTGATGATGAGTTCAAAACATCAACGTTTATTTTTTGTTAAAGAGTTTCTAGGCATTAATGACACAAGGGGCTACATGTAGAGGGCACAGGGCAGCCTTATGCAGAGCTGGCCAGGCTCTCTCTTCACGTGCAGCACTTGCAGCACAGTGGCCGTGTTAGCCCAGTGCTGTACCTGGGCTACTGGAGTTTGCAAGCTTCTTAGCAAGGATTACCCAGGTGCAACTAGCTTCTCCCTAGGTTTGCAAAGAGCCAAAGAATATCTCCGACCGCTACTCTGAAACATCTGCCACCGCCCGGAAGAGTGGGACCCTGTCCAGGCTTGAAGGCTTCTGTTATGGGCATGCCCGGTGCCACAGTCAGTCCTGAAGGGCTTGGGAATTCGTTCCCCGCCACAATGCCCACCCCACTTGCTCAGCCCGTATGATGGGGTTGAGGGTTTGCCCTTGGTAGCATTGATCTTTCTAAGTAAAGTTTCTGCACGTATGTTTTTGAGCTAAGTTTAACTGTGGGGTGAAAGAAACTATTACATATGCTCTGTAATAAGATGGGCTTGTTTTTTGGGTACAGGAGTGATTAGTTACATGAGAATAGAAAAATGTTTTTCCTGTTTGGTTTAATTAGCATAGAGCTTGCATTTCACATGGAAACTTGACAGTAGACAACAAATGTTCCTCATTGTTAGCCAGGAAAAACAAAGTAAGATGGCTGCATCCATTAGTTTGATGTCCTATCACCCAGCGATGGAGAGGCTGCTGTCAGCTTCAGCAGCCTGAGTACTTGGCTGAGAAAAACAAGTCTCTCCAAGAACCACCAAAGTAATAACTCATCAAAATCTTAAAATGGCATGTACCTTCCAGAACGCAGAGACTCCCAGAGCCCCAAAGGAAGCACTTGCATCTCTAAACCAGCTGCCAGACTGCATTGGCTTTTAGAAGAATGACTGTACAGCAACACACAAGTTTGCTTGCGTTTAAGGGCCCAATTCCAGCACCTTTACTCTGGGTCGATACCGTACAGAAGAGAGGCAGCCTCTTACAGCTGGTTGTCCCAATTCTGTCATCAGCTCGTCTGTGAGCTATTAGACTGAAATGAGATGAAACCACGCCTGTCTTTGGTTTCAGCCTGCAAGTAATGCAAACATTCAGGTTTGCATGACTGTTACTGAGAAAGCTGCCTCTTCTCTACCAGTTCTCTTGGCCCACCTGCTGGGTGCTGGACCCTCTTCCCTTGCTCGTTGAGCTGGGGTCAACAAAAAGGCCTGCTGCCCCTCAAGAGGGTCTGTTGGAAGGTGGGGGTCCTGCCTGTCCACATGCTCAAAAGGAGCAGCCAAGCATGAAACGTTCCTTCTCCTCCCAGCCACTGCCAATGTCTTTGCTAAGAGCCAGACCACATTATTTGGGAACTAGGGAACCATCAAGTTTCCCGTCAGTCACGGAGAGCAGCCTGTGGTATCACGGCCAATGCTGGTGGGATTCAGCTGTGAGAGTGGGAGTCTTTCCTGAACAACAGCTTATGAAGCGGTTGGGTGTGTAAGAAGGGAGAACAGGTTGTGTTTTGTAACTCAGGTGCTCCTACAGGTGAGAGAACCCCTTACACACATGCACACACTTGCTTTTAAGGACTAGAGGGAAAGGAAAATGCATGGAAACACCCAGGCCATAAGAGAAAGGAGAAGGTGCCTCTAAGAGGGAGACGGGTTGGGAGAAATCATTACCAGTATTCCTGCTAGGTTCTGAGAGGGTAACAAGGAGCCATCCAAGCTTTGTATTTGGATTTTGCTCACTTCAGTGTATTCAGATCTGCAACCTAACTGTTCCACCAACAACAGGGACGTGTATTATATTCTGAGTCCAGCACCTCTCAGTTTGTTGTCTGTTTTCTGGTGGACCTACAGCATCGTGCAGCCTGCAGAACGAGTGACTAATGTTTATGTTATATGATAACTTCAGAATCAGGCCACCCTTGGTAAATTTGAATGCTCTGGGCATTTTGATTGATGCGGACAAAATGAGATCAGGGTTGGGTCTGACCAGATGTCTGCGGGGAAAAGAAATCTCAAATGTGCTCATATTTTCATTTTCTCTTAGATCAGCTATGAGATTCTCGGGAAAATCCCCATCCTCAAGAATCTTCGCTACAGAGAGAAGCAGGCAGGGAAAGATGTTACCCTCCAGGACGAACATCCAGATTTTCCAAATGCCAACATGCCAGCAGTGCTAGAGGAGACTGCCAAGACTGAGAACACGAGACCGCACACAGGGACCAGCCCTGCCCACGTTGGACACTGTTCTGCTGGAAATGATTCCTTAAGTGCCAAATCAGATGTGCCTGGTGCATTCACTACTGTGTATGTGGGTAACCTACCTGCGGGCACAAGAGTGAGCGAGTTAAAGAGCACTTTGCGAGAACTCCATGTGACCCCTTTGCGCCTGAATTGGCAGGGAGCGCAGCACAGAGCTTTTCTCGATTACAAGGATAAAGTCGCAGCTGAGAGCGCTGTATCCTCTTTGAAAGGCTTGAGCCTGGGGGGTTGTACTTTGCGAGTTGAGCTGGCCAAGAATCAGAGAAGCAAAGGGCAAGTGGAAATCAACAGAAACCTAGCTCCGCAGGGAAAATAAGTGTGTTTTCATTGTTTAGCAAGAAGTCAACTTCTTTTTTCCTTTTTTTTTTTTTTTTATGTTAGAAGATCTCAGTCCAGGGTCTGATTCTGTAAGCTAAGCAGTAATAGGCACTGGTATGTAAAAAGCCAGCTTTACAAACAGATTAGCCTTACTAATTTGCACTTCTCATTTACCTTCTCTGGTTATGCAAATACACATGCAAATCAAATATTTGCATATGCTGATGTAAAAATGGCCATTTCTGCCCACAGGTAATGTATATGCTTTGGGATGAGCGAGTAGGGTTAGATGTGCTAGGGTGAATGTTGATTTATACACATGTCGTGTTAGACAATCTGATTGTTGACATCCTGCATGCAGGTAATTTTAGTCTGATATCTGTGTGCTGCTGTAGGGGGCCAGCAATGAGTGGTACGTGCAAAACTGCTTTTACAGATTTAGAGGCAAACGTAAAAAATTAAGCCCTGGGGTGCATGGTGCCCAAGGCATCCAAAATGTAGCTGGGCAGATTTCTACGCCCCCCTCAAAAAAATCTGAAAATGGAAGGAGGCTTGATTTTTGGCTTTGAAGATTCTAATACATTTTTGACAGAAGTGGAATCTTTTCAGGGAAAATGCTTTGTTCTGTTGGAAAGCCTTTTTCCATTAAAAAAAGACATGTTCAAGGAATTTCTTTTTTTTGCCAGTCAATGCCAGTTGACCCCACTGGCATAAGAGCACTCTGACCCTCCCTGGAGTCATGCTCAAAGTTCCTGTACTTTCTCTAAATGTTGTACATCTTATTCTGGGCTGGGAGACAAGACAAACATCACTTACCCTCCAAGCAATTTTAGGTCCCTTTTGCATGTTTGGATAGGTAAGCAGCATGGAATTATTTTTGCAGATACTGGCTGCTCTGATGATTCTCTATACTCACTGTACAGTGAATATAACTCTGATTTAAGTGGCCTTACATTAACATAAAATTTATGTGGGGTACAGGAGAGTCAGGATGTACACATGCTGTTGGCAACTGATCAAGCATAGAGTTGTCTGAGAAATTACTAAGATAGTAGTAAAGCCTATTCGTTCTATGCCTCTATTGCTAGTACAGCATTTCAGTCTTCCTCTGTAACCATGATGTCAGGTATTGATATGGGTTGGTGGTTCCAAGTGTCTCCAGAAAAGTTATTCTTTATATGAAGTGCTAGCTTAAATAATAGGCTTTGCAGACATCCTCCAAAACTCTCTTGTGTAGAGTAAATCAGAATTATGATTGGTTTGGAAAGACTTTATTTTATTCTATATTTTTTCAGTTCCTTATTCCTGAAAAACAAGTTGAATTTTGGCTGAACTAGCCTTTCTGAACAGAAGCACTTTTTGCCATTGATCCTGGGCAGAAAGTCAAAATAAACATTTAAATGGATATTTTACTTTTTTGAAAAAAAAGTCTGACTTGGAAACATTTTTCTTTGCCAAAGCATATTGCTAAGTATATTTTAAGCACATTATTATGCCTCAAGGGGAGACCTTTCGTACGGTATTAAAGAAAATGTTCTCAGGGCTATAGTATGTTTGGTGCATAAGGGTTCAAAGAAGACGTTGCTTTGACTTTCTGCAGTGAAAACAGGTGTGGCTGCTGAAGAAATAAAATTATACTCTCCAATGATGACTCTCTTCCTCACTCAGAATTATTTTCAGTGCTTAGAGAGAAAATTAAAATCATTACACAGCACTTCTCTCTGGTTTCTTTTTTATGTCAAATTGGGCATTTTAGAATATGAGAGGTGTGTTTAAAGAAATTATGGAAGGAGAATTAAAAATAATCTAATACCCTTTTTCTCCAAATTGCTATAAATGGTGTGACTTCAGACCAGTTTATGCTCTCTCGACCTTCTATAACCCTATTGGCTTCAGTGAAGATGACTGAATGTAACAGAAAGCTCTGTCTATAAATGCTTCAGAAGTAATCCTTCCCCAAATGGCAGTCAACCACTGCCAACTTTCTTTTGCTGCGTTTCTGATTTTGACATCACACTTTAAGTTTGTGGTTGTTCCTTATTCTACCTCATCTACCTGAACATCTGTAGTTAATTTATTCAAAACAGTTGCTGAGTTTTTAATACTTTCTACGTAACAGTTCTGGGGAGGGAAATGTATATATGTGGAATATGTTATATTATTTTTAAATATGTATTTGGAAGCATTCTGGGAATTAAAGCTAATTTTAACACTACTTTCAGTAATATGGCAAATCCCTGTTGTTTAGAAAATTACAAAAAAACCCCTCCAAAAAACAGAATTTAGTTTACACTCCGCTTTATTTCAGAATAGAGAAATGTATTTAGAGTTCACCTGCACTTGGCATTAGTACAGAACTTGTGATGCACACAAATAGCTGTCTTTCTAGGATGTAATATCCAGGTAGTATGTCCTGGCTTCTGCTCTTTTGGCTTGCACAAAGCCTGCAAAGATCCTGCTGTTCGGGTTTTCTTATCTGTGCAACCGTGCTCCATATCTGCGGCCTATATTCAGTCCATGCCTTAGAGATGCCATTTATGTGCATCTCTTTTTTTTCAGTCTGTTCCTTGCTTTGTTCTACCATAAGTATTGCTAGATCAGATATTGCAGCAGTTATCGAATTAATAGATTGGCCAGTTGATCCCTAACCAGACCCCAGGCAATCTGTTAACCAGAGTCAGCTAGTGTTAGGTCTGGTTAGTATCAGGAGATAAACAGCCTTTAGTTGAAACATCAGGATCCCACAGATTTAGCTAAGAATGAACAGTATGCAAACTATTCATTCTCTCTGTACGTGGAGTGGGATGGGATGATTGTGCAGTTGCTTTGCTGTCCTTCCAACCTTTATGATCTCCATTGTCAAGATGCATAACATTTATGGGACCTTGTCTTTACAAGGAAAGCTGGAGCTGGCATGGGCTTACTAACATGAGAATAAAGCATAGTGAAGACGAAGTAACCAGTACTGATTGCATGAGTCAGAAGGTCAGAGTAACTCCTACCTAAGCTATTTTCATAGTCTCTCTCAGCCTGCTACAATGGCTACAGATGGTCGCTTTGACTAGCCTTTCCTCCCACTTTATTGAACCCAAGTTAAGGACATGCTGCTTTGTCCTAGTGAAGACAAACCCATAAAGTGTGTTAGGTCAGATACAGATCTTTAATGGCCTGTTCCTGTAAAATCATGAAAATGAGGAGTGATTTGGCCAGAAACAAAAGATTTTTCCTGCAGATAGCAGCACTTTACTTACTATAAAGCTTAGTCATGGGGCTGTGTTTTATGAATGCAGTACATTTGTTACGCTTGCTGAAACCTGTAACCTACAGAATCCTCTTCAGTTGTATTTCCAACAGGGGCTTGTCATGCTATCCTTGAAGTGGATAAGAGGTCTGACTTCTAACAGAATTGGGCTAGTTTTCGGGGGACAGCTTTCTCAGTGATTTTGAACATCCGGTTAAAGCAAAAATCCAAATGCAAGGTGCATTCATTACCTTTCAATGTATAACCTCAAGAGGAGGGGTGCATTCAGCAGCCCAGGGCCCACGACTCTCGCCTACATGTGTTTCCCATTTCTCCTTCCCTATGGTGTGGATTCCTACTGCACTATGGCTAAGCCCTGCCTGAAGAGGTAACCAGTTTTCATGTTATGAGTTGAATAATTCACACCTTGTAAATCTATCTTTTTCAGCTTTTTGCAGACTCGGGCAGGTACCCATTCTCCTTGAGTGACATTTCCTAACTTTCCTTTGGATCCACATGAGCGAGAAACGTTAAGATCTTTAGGTTATGATCCCAAGGAAAGAGGCTCTCGCCAAGGACTTATGGTACCCTTTTCTTAAGCTTAACCTGGGCAGGAATGTACAACATGCTTTATTGACAGTCAGACCACAAGGTTGCCATCCTGAACAGGCTTTGAAGATGAAAAGCTTTAGGGACATGCTATGACGATGCCGTTTGCTGTGTATTTGTGACTATAAATCAAAGGACAGGTTATGCTCAGCCACAGAGGTAGCATATTTTTCATCCACTGTAGCTACAATAATGGGGCAGGATGGTTGAAGGTTACTTTCAAATCTCTGCTCTGTGACAGATTTTCTGCACCACCTTGGGCAAGTCACTTAGGCCCAGATAGATGGGAGTTGGGCCTTTTCAGATTGGTGATTAGTTTGTGCCCATTCCCCTCCCTTCTCTCAGAGGAGCACAGCAATCAATGCATTCAAGGTGGTGAACACCTCAAATCTTCCTGCCGGAGGTCGTGTTAGCACTTACAAGACATGATCTTTTGCTTAAGGAAAAAAATTAAATAATCCACGCTGGTCACAAATGGGGTTTCTTTTCATTTCTTGTATGCGCAGTGGTACAACTGGATGCATTTCACCATATGTGAGAGGAGAGAAAGTTCAGCAGAACAATGAGAAATACCTAAAGCGGAGCCGAAGCCAACGTTGCTTAGAAGCAATTAAAAATAAGATCTGTCTATTCTTTCTGCAGCCTGGTGTGTCTCTTGTGTCCTTGCTTGTCATGTGGTTTGGTGCATTCTTTCCAGCTACTTTCATGGTACAAACAAATTAAGCCTTTTTGTATTACTTATGCATGCACTGAGGGCTCCATCCTGTTAGATCCTGAGCGACACCTGGAGCTCTTGAACGCTAACAAGTCAGCTGGACCTTAACGGCAGCGCAGGGTGCAGAGAGCACAGCAGGAGCGAGCCTCGGCCATGGAAGTGACCACCCCAGGTGTTACACCCTGCAAACGGCTTTTCCAAAAAGCATTTCCCCCCTGCTCTGTTCTGTGCTAATTTGCAGGGAAGAGGATCAAAGGAATCACGGGATCAAACCAGCTGAGCCTCAGACAGGACCATTCAGCATTAAAAACGTGGTCGCTTTGGAGCTGATTTTCTTTTGTCAAGCAATATTAGTCACAGTGTGGTGTGTGGCACTGAAATCCGAGGCACCGTAATCTGCTAACAATAAAACGGAGGTGGCTAGCTGCCACTCAGCGCTGAAACTATATGATCATTAGGGTTTTCCTTGAGACGTTTACGTCCATGCGTTTCCTGGAACGAGAGCAAGGCCACACAGCTTCAATCCACCAAAAACAAGGAGGAGTAAACAAGGGCTGTTGCTGTGTAGTCTCTGGTGCCTGAGTGACAGGAACGGAGACTGTTTCCCCAGACCAGAAAAACCAACCTCGGCCTGGGTTGGGAAGCCGTGGAAGCCCTGATTCTGTTTCCTGAAGGCAGGCCTCACCCGCAGCGCCCCGCCGACTTAATTGGGGTTATGTGTGGGTCGATTCCTGCAAAGCAGATTCAGGGATCAGGGCGTCATTCTGGGAAGATTTTTGAGGGGAAGTAAATAGCATCATAGGATAGTGGGGCTGGAAGGGGCCTCGGGAAGTCATCTCATTCAATCCCACCACTGGAAGTAGGATCATCCCTGTCTAAACCACCCTGGACAAGTGTTTGTCTAAACCAGTGGTTCTCAGCCATGGCACCCTGGGGTACCTCGAGTTCCTGTTGAGGGTGCCATGGGGTACTGTGCAATATTCGCACTGTTCAGTAGCTTTCATAGACATCGGGCTGGAAGGGACCTCGGGAGATCATCGGGCCCAGCCCCCCCACCATAGGCAGGAAGTCAGCTGGAGTCAGATCACCCCAGCAAGATAAGCGTGCAAGCGTTTCTTAAAGGTATCCAGAGTAGGTGCTTGCACTACTTCTGGTGGAGTCTATTCCAGACTCTGGAGACTCAGATGGTAAAGAAGTTTTTCCTTATGCCCAGTCTAAAACGGTCTTCCAGTGTGCAAATATGACTCAGAAGATAAACCAGAGATTTCATATAAGGATCCATACTGTCAGAAAGATAATGACCTAATAGTTAACTAAAATATGCCCATGGGATCCAAGGAAGAAGACCATACCCCTTGCTATGGAGGAAAGTCAAAACCCTTGCAGTCCATCAAAATGTTGAATTTTTTATGGGTGGGGAATTCAATTAGCTTTTAAAATTTGGATAGACAAAAGAACAGGAAATGTTGTTGGTCACATTTTTCATTGCAGCGTTTGAAACATACCCACCTCTTTCTCCCAAGCGGAAGAAGGGCAAAAAATGTTTTCATGTTGTGTGATTTCTCCAGTTCATGTTCTTTATCAAGAACAGCCCCAATGAGCAGTCACTGGGGCGGAAACATCTGTAACCATGGCCATTGAGACCATGTTAACTAGCAAAATGTACACAACAATCTGCATCACTTATGTTCTGAAAGATTTGATTTCCTCATTGCCACCTATTAACGATAATCTCCCTGACAAGCAAAAGAGCCACTTCCCATCTTTTCATCTATATTGTTCTTGTCATCTGTTATAAATATCACAGAGAACTATCCCTTCCCCACACTCACATAGGTAAAAAAACAAAAAACCTCAGGATTTTTCATCTTTCCATCTTCAAAGCACTTAATAAATGTTTAGAGTCATGTATCCTGCCATTGTTCTGTGTATGGACATCTCACAGAAGTCAGTAGGAGAAATGATTTCAGGATATGGTCCTCACTAATTAATCTTCTTCCAATGGACCTGGTTAGCTATGGCCACATTTTACAGACGGGAGAACTAAGGCTGTCGTAATTGGGCACCGGGGGGTAGACTCAACTGGGGCGGTTATGTATCGTGCTGCCTATGGAAGTCACTGCTGGAAGTTGGGTACCTAGGTTTCTAGCTGGGTTTCCATTCATGTTGTCATATTTTTTTCTTTTTTGAAAAGAAAAAATATGGTACACATGGTACTCCTCATGTTTATACATGGTAATTGTGTGTGGTGCCTGCACTGCTCCTTTCTGCCTTGTAGATGTTACTACCTCAATGCTGGCAAATAGATTTGCCAGATCCAAGCCTGCTCCTACAACTGAGAACCTCTATGATATCCTTTGCAAGCCAACTGGGACGCAAGGGGCTTTATCAACATGAGCTCCTCCACATTTCAATGACACTGCCACACTAAGGTTTTTTTGATCGAATGGGCCTTCCTTATGGCATGGACACCTGCCTTCCCAGGGGCTCGCTCCTGATTTCAGATCTTCCCTGTTCAAAATAGAGTCTTGGTTCCACCATGTCGGATGAGACGGAGCAGCAATAAGCCTGCTCCTACATGATGGCTGTGACAAGCTCGATTTCTTCCCTCTGTTTTCATGGAATCAGAAAAAAATTAACTGAAAGGGAC